AGAGAGGCGGAGGGTCATGTGACGCCTCGCCTGCCTGTCACATGACCCACGACTTACAGGAGGCGGAAGTGGGAAGAGGAAGGAGCCCAGCCGCCGCCGGTAAGAGCAAGAGCCTGTTGTCGTTAGTCTTGTTGTGGTTTGTGTGGCTGCTGTGAGGCTTCTTCCCCTTCCTCTCAAGGTCCCAGGCCTTGCTTGGGGTTGGGAGCTGAGGCGGGTCGGCCTTGGATGGGACTTGGAGGGGAGACCCTGTGGGGAACGCCAGAGGAAGGAAATGAAGGGGGAAAGCGCCTTCTCGGGCTGCTGGACGACTGGAGGATTCTGGGAGTTGCAGTCCGAAAGGAAGACCCTTCCTCAAACCTACAAGGCCTCCTTCTCTCTCTGACACAGGCCTGGGCCAACTTAGGCCCTCTCTCCAGGTGTTTTGGACTTCAATTCCTATAATTCCTAATAGACTCAGGCCCTTTCCTTTTCATTGCTTATTGACAGAACCCCAGCCACCACTTGCCCACTTCTGCTCCAGCCCTGGCTCTGATTCTGCCCAAAGGCCCCCTGGACCTCTGTGGATGACACAAACGAGCATGAGCCTCATCTGGCGAATTTGAAGACCTGGCTGTTCCGATGTGCCTTCCCCGATTAGGAAATCTCCAATACCAAGTCCCAGAAGCACTTTATTAGAATTTAAGACTGCCGCACACTGCACTTGCCCTATAATATCACCTGTCACATCAGCACTTTTTAATCCTGTACCCTTTACTCTGGCCTGGCCCAGTTTTATCTTGTTGATTTATTGTTTATTGCTTGTGGTTTTTAATTTGCTTTGAGTGTATTGTTGTGTTGTGTATTGAGGCCTTGGCCTTTGTAAGCCGCATCGAGTCCTTCGGGAGATGCTAGCGGGGTACAAATAAAGTTTAATAATAATAATAATAATCTGTCACACTCAGAGTGATGTTGAAAGTGATCCAGTGGGTGCTGATGGAAGAAGAGAATAGAAGAAATAAATAAATATAGAATCCTATAATGCTGGAGTTGGAAGGGACCCCCAAGGGCCATCCAGTCTGACCCTTTCATAGATAGATAGATAGATAGATAGATAGATAGATAGATAGAATGGGCCATCCAGTCTGACCCTTTCATTCATAGATAGAATGGGCCATCCAGTCTGACCCTTTCATTCATAGATAGATAGATAGAATGGGCCATCCAGTCTGACCCTTTCATTCATAGATAGATAGATAGAATGGGCCATCCAGTCTGACCCTTTCATTCATAGATAGAATGGGCCATCCAGTCTGACCCTTTCATTCATAGATAGATAGATAGAATGGGCCATCCAGTCTGACCCTTTCATTCATAGATAGATAGATAGAATGGGCCATCCAGTCTGACCCTTTCATTCATAGATAGAATGGGCCATCCAGTCTGACCCTTTCATTCATAGATAGATAGATAGAATGGGCCATCCAGTCTGACCCTTTCATTCATAGATAGAATGGGCCATCCAGTCTGACCCTTTCATTCATAGATAGATAGATAGAATGGGCCATCCAGTCTGACCCTTTCATTCATAGATAGATAGATAGAATGGGCCATCCAGTCTGACCCTTTCATTCATAGATAGATAGATAGATAGAATGGGCCATCCAGTCTGACCCTTTCATTCATAGATAGATAGATAGAATGGGCCATCCAGTCTGACCCTTTCATAGATAGATAGATAGATAGATAGATAGATAGATAGATAGAATGGGCCATCCAGTCAGACCCTTTCATTCATAGATAGATAGATAGATAGAATGGGCCATCCAGTCTGACCCTTTCATTCATAGATAGATAGAATCTTACAGTTGGAAGAGAACCCAGCACTATCCAGTCTACCCCTCTAAGAGATAGATATAAATAAATAAATATAGAATCATAGGTCTCTTCTACACAACCATATAAACCAGAATATCTGCCTTGAACTGGGTTATCCGAGTCCACACTGCCATATATTCTAGTTCAAAGCAGATAATGTGGGATTTTATTCAGCTATGTGGAAGGGACCCCAAGGGCCATGCAGTCCAACCCTATAAGTCAGTGGCTGCTAAACTGGCTGGGATTTCTGGGAGTTGTAGGCCAAAACACCTGGGGACTCACAGGATGAGAACCACTGCTCCTGTCATAGATCAATAGAATCTTAGAGTTGGAAGAGGCCCAAAGGACCATCCAGTCCAATCCCTGACAGATGGCCCTCCAGCCTCTCCTTGAAAACCTCCAGAGAAGGTTTTTATGGAGTTCATCAGTGAGACTCATCAACTAGAGGGAACCAGCTAAGCTTTTCCCCACTGGTCTGAGTGTTGTGCTTCTCCTTATTTCATGGCACTACATGTTGAGGATTAACACAAAGCAGGCAAACCCCCAAGAATGAGCTGGATGTGTATGTACATTTTCACCTGTCCTTGCTCAGGTGCAGTGCCCTTGGGCAGCAGGGAGCTTGCAAAGGTGAAGGTGGGAATGCCACTTGGTTTGGATTGTGTCGCAAGAGCCTCTCTGCTGGGCTCCAATGTAGAGGAAGGTGCTGTCCTCTTGTTAGCAGTTGTTTTGTTTATGTGTTTTCATTGGTTTTGCCAGGTTCTTCCTCTGAAACAGAGACTACCATTCCCAGTATTCCTTGGTAGACCAAGTCCTAACCCACACTCTCCCTGCTTAGCTTTCAGAATCAGACAGAGCTTAGGGCCTTTAGGATATTTACTTGGAGCTAATCTGCTTGTCTTTTGCACATTAGGCAAATGTTGTTTTTCCCCCCACAAAATTATTTTCTCAAAGCAGAATATAAACCTTCTTAGGGCAAGAATGGGTGCATAAGTCTGGGGAGGCCCTGCTCTTGGTCCTGCCTGCATCACAAGTACGTTTGGCGGGGATGAGAGACAGGGCCTTCTCAGTGGTGGCCCCTCGGTTGTGGAACACCCTTCCTACAGATATTAGATTGGCCCCCTCCCCGTTGACATTTTGGAGGAAAGTGAAGACCTGGTTGTTTGAGCAGGCATTTGAATAGGCAGTGTAACGAATATAGGAATATGGAACAATTGGATGATGAGACTGGATTTCGATCTTAACTAGAGGGGAATGAGATGTTTTATTGATTTATATTAACTGCTACTGTTTTAATTGTTTTTAACTGTTTTATGATGTTTTTGAGCATTGAATTTTGCTATTGTTAACCGCTCTGAGTCACCCAAGGGCTGAGAAGAGCGGTATACAAATATAGTAAATAAGTAAATAAATAAGTACACATTTATATGTATATTTCTGTATTTCATCCTACCTTACTCCCCATATGGGACCCAAGGGGGCTTGCAATATAGGTTCAAGCAAAATATAAACTAAAACAATATATAATGCAATTTTAAAAATAGGTAATCCTATATAGTGGTTTCAGCTTTGGACCCTGGACACTAGGGTTCAGATCTGTACACAGGCTTGGAAACTTATTATCCTGTTAGGTGACCTTGGGCAAGGCACTCTCTCTCTCTTAGAGGAAGTCAAAGGTAATCATCTTCTAAATTAACTTTGCCAAGGACTCCTTAGGAGAGTATGATTATAAGACGGAACAACAACAATTATGAATGGGTTGTTGTAGGTTTTTTAGTGAGGACCTCACTACCTCTGAGGATGCTTGCCATAGATGCAGGCGAAACATTAGGAGAGAATGCCTCTAGAACATGGCCATATAGCCTGAAAAAAACCTACAACCCAGTGATTCTGGCCATGAAAGCCTTCGACAATACATTGAAGAATTACGAATAATTCAGAAACATTTTAACACATGTCTAGAGGCACATTAAGAATCTTTTCCAATCAAATTGTGAAAAGTCCCAGGTCTATTGAGATAGAAGAGCCTTTGCTTGCCTTTATCTTTCACCCAGCGTGGACTGTTATTCTTTTGCTCTTTTCCAGGCCACTGATGATGCAATGGCTTCTGCAGGGCTCTCTGGAGAGAAATCTCCGCTGACTGTGAAAGGTGAGCATTTAAGAGTTCGGCCGCTGGTTGGTGGAAGACTAGCTGGGCATTAATATGTGTGTATATGTGTGTGTGTGATAATCATCCAGTAGCAAGCCTTTGGGGTTCATTCAAAAGCAGGTGAGCTCAGCAGGTGTCCAGAGCTTTGGATGGAGGTTTGAGAGAACCCTAAAGTCCTGATGCCAAGCAGAGGCATGTGTTTTTTCATTTCTTTCCTTCATCAAAAAGACAGGATAATGTCACATGACAGAACTGATTTGGGGGCTTCTACAAAATGAAAAGTTGGGCATATTATTTCCTTTTGTCTTTGGTTTTTAGAGTATTGTTGAACTCAAAAACTTGGATTTGGGGCACTAAGGGAAGATATCCAGGAATATTTGAAAAACAGTTGAGAACTTACTTACTTACTTAGGCGATCCCTCGTTGGCTGAGTAGGATAGTCTTCCAGGATCAGTATTCTTGTGGGTCTGTAGGTGACTGTGGAGCCCTATTCTTGAACTGCATCTTCTCCCGCAGTGAGGGCATTGGTTT